TCACATAGTAGAGGAAGGCAGTATGAAGGTAGACGACATTAATTAAGTTAAAATTTATAATGATCCAGTAGATGACATAATAAAATGGGGAAATTCTGTAGCAACCTATGGAGTTCCATACATTGAACTCTGTGCATTGATAACAAAAGTTACATATTAATTGACTCAAAATTTTTCACTTAATTATTGCCTAGTGTTTTAAGTGAAAGTAAATCTGATAAAATTACCTTTGCTTCAAAAAGCTTGCAGTCAGACAAGCAGAAGAAAATATCATTCTAATTTCACTGCAAAAGTAAAACAAGGGTTAAGTTACAACATATACTAAAACATACTTTTATCTTATTTTAAAATAAGTAATGCCAAGGAATCATTATTAATGAAGTATTTTAAGACTCTTCTAAATTCTGGCTTAGTACTTTGTACATATTGCTAAATTTTACCAAAACCTTTTATTACTGATTCGCATAAGTTATTTAGATTAAAATAAAATCCACCATTCTGAAAATCAAAACTCAGAACTACAGAGAATAAAATATAAGGTGAAAATAGGCCAACTTATTGGAAGCTTTGTGAACTTGGTGGAACCAGTCATCTTGCTCACTGAGTAAGGTGCGAGAATGTTGTACATTATCAATATATCTCATATTAATGATGAATAAATAATGGATGATTACAGTAACAGGTGGTGGAAGAGAAAAATGGTCAAAATGCACATGTCTCCACAACAAGCCAACACCTCTTTCTTAGATCTAGGACAAAATGACAAGTGCTTTGAAATATAAAAAGTTTTAATTTATTGGACAGAGTCACCTATTGACTGCTTCCCATTGACCTCTTTTTATTGTTGTCCATGTTTTTGCCAGAGACTCATGAATTCGGCTTATCTCTGGCAGGGTTTTCCTGGAAATACGTGTGGAACAAGTACCCTTCAAGGAAGAAAAAAGCAAGAATGAGCAGAAAACAGAGAGATGGGTGGAGTAATAAGCAAGGCAGGGAAGTATCTGGCACTGCTGGAAGGCAGGCTTCACCCTCTTAGGCAAGTGTTTGGTAGGTGACGCTTCGGCCTTGGCATCAGATCTGCCTCGCTACTTTACATCTTTTCCTACTATAATCCTTACTTTCACCATTTAAAAAAAGGGAGATAACATAAAATAGAAAATAGGGACTCAGTTGCTTGTAAATCAGTATTACTTATAGCACTGCTTACAGCAGTCAAAAGATGAAAGTAAGCCAATTGTCTATCAATAAATGAATGGACCCAAGAAGTGGGGTATATGCATGCAAAGGAATCTAGTCAGCCTTAAAAATTAATTACTATGTGTTACATGCATACACCAACTCCCTATGAGCAATGCACTGATTATGAATTCCAATCATGAACCAATAAAAATTGAAAAAGTAAATTGTTCACTAAAAACAGAATGATATTCTAATACCTGCTATAATATCAATGAACTTTTAAAATATAAGTGAAATAAGACATAAAAAGACAAATATTTTATGATTCCACTTATATGACATGTCTAGAATATTGCAGCAAAATTTATAGAAACAGCTGGGCATGGTGGCACATGCCTGCAGTCCCAGCCCTCTGGAGGCTGACGGAGGAGGATCCCCATGAGTTCAAGGCCAACTTGGGCTATGTAGTGAGTTCAAGCCAGCCTGAACTACATAATTATATCTTGTCTAAAAAAGAAAAATTACAAATTTATTGAAAATCCAAATTTATAAAAACAGAAAGTAGAACTTATTTAAGGCTGAGGGAAGAGGGGAATGAATAGCCATTTAATAACTAAAAGAGTTTCTGAGTGCTTCCCTGGCAAGCGCAAGGGCCTGAGTTCAATCCCCAGTTCC